AATAAAATGCTCATCAAGACACAGACATAGACAAGTAAACCTATCCTTCTCTGAGGTTCACTGCCAATATAAGAATATCTTTTACTTCAAGTTTGACATTATTTGTCATTCATACGATAGCCTAATTAGGTACATGTAAAAGGACTTTCATGTGCAGTATAAATTACCTTCAACCTCGATCCTTATGTAACTTTATTTAGACAATTCTATTATAATACATAATACTGTGAAAGTATTGTGTTAAGGTTTGTTCTGATGATGCAGATATGATTATCATGATGCCATATGATTATCATCTTTGACAAGTTAGTCAGAAGTCTTTTCTTCAGTGAATCAAACTTTATTCCGCTTGAGGGAAGTGTTCCTGTAATTCAGCTTCTTTTGCTGTGAACCAACTCGTAGCTAACACTCCCCTGTTTGTGTGTGTTCCCGTGTCACTGTGGTGTGTATGTGTGTGTGAATGACTCAGCCGTGTTAGTCACATGCTGTTCTGTGGGTTGTGTGAGTGACACAGTGTTGAATCCATCCAAGCACTGACTCAGCACAGAGGCTGAGCTTTCAGAATCAGGTTTTCCCTCCGACTGAACACTTCATCATAAAGGTGATGGGAGCGTGTTAGGTAGGGTCTTCCACGGCATGAATACGACTTTGAGGAATTCCGGTTATAAAGGAAGAAGAGCCACATTGAATTTAAGTTTGAGCTTTTAAGTAATTAATTAAACTGAAATAATTAAAATAATATTCCCCAGTTTTATATGTGGTTAATTCTTATAAGTTTGATAAATATGAGCCCAAACTTCTTACCTGAGGTGAAGAAAAGTGGTTGGTTGACAAAACATTTTCTTATATAAATTGATATACGGATCCACATGCTCAACTTAACAAGACTAATGATCTAAAACTCACAATCTAAAGAATAATGGCCAATAGTGAAGAGACTTATCTTCCACTTACAGTTGTAGTAATTTAATTTAATGGAATCTCGTAGTGAAGTTCCAGAATACAACTATTTGAATACAGCTCAG